ACGGAGCTGCTGCTTGAACCTTCTCACACACACAGAACTCCCAAAAAGGTGTTTTATTTCTTAAAAGGGGCAGCAGAGGTGTCTCACAGAGTCACCAACCAGTTCCTCTGGAGGGACAACAATGGGGCAGAGAGGCCGAGGCCTTCCCCTGATAAGAGCATCAGAAGAGCCCTGCTGGGTCAGACCAGGGAGGGTCCCTCTAGTCCAGCCTCCCATCTCACACAGGGGCCAGCCAGTCCCTCTGGAGGGCCAGCAACAGGGCAGGGAGCCCCTGAGGTTGCCTCCTGGCTCTGGGATTAAGTGGCTTCGTGATAGACGTTTCCTCCATGAATCTACCTAATCCCCCTTTAAAGCTGTCTATTCAGGTGGCCATCACTCCATCCTCTGGCAGAGAATTCCACATTTTAAGCACTCTCTGTGTAAAGTAGTATTTTCACCCTAAGCCTACATCCCCATCAGTTTTATTTTTCTCTAATGATAGCCTGTCCTCTGTGGTTTGAAATCTTCCTTTATCCACTTTATTTCTAGTTGGGATTGACCTGTAGGTCAGAGGAGCAGAGGAAGGGAGGAAGGATGGAAGGAAGGAGGGAAGGGAAGGAAGGAGGGAGGAAGGGAAAGAAGGAAGGAAAGAAAGAGGGAGGGAGGGAGGGAAAGAAGGAAAGAAAGAAAGAAAGAAAGAGGGAGGGAGGGAAAGAAGGAAAGAAAGAGGGAGGGAGGGAGGGAAAGAAGGAAAGAAAGAAAGAAAGAAAGAGGGAGGGAGGGAAATGAGGGAAGGAGTGAGGGAGGGTAGAGGCGAAGGTGGGCAACGCTGCCAGTCTGCAGAGCGGCCCAGACCAGGGGCAAGGGCTAAGTGGGGAGGCAGCCCCAGCACCCGCCTGGGAACGGGCAGCAATCCGGATCGGCCTCCCCTCCCCGCCACTCACCAATGAACTCGATGGCTTCGGGGAAGAACTGCGACAGGTTCTGGCTCCAGTGGTCCGAGATGGGGATCTGCTTGTAGTGGAAGTCGCCGTTCTTCTCGAAGAGGTTGGGCAGGTTGGGCGTGACGTTGAGGATGTAGTGGATGCCCAGCTTGGCCAGGGTGTCCATGTTGGCGGAGTCGCGGGCGCTGCCCAGGTAGAGGTTGGGCAGGATCTGCACGGGGAAGGAGGGGGGGCTGGCCCCCTCCGACTCCATGCCGCCGCTGCTCAGGGGCTCCGACTCGGCATCCGAGCAGTCCGAGCTCAGGCTCAGGCCCCCCAGCCCCACCACGGAGGCCGCCAGGGGCACGGGCGAGTTGCTGGTGCTGGCCGGGTCGAGGTTGGTCTCGCAGAGGTGCGGGCACTCGGCTTGGAACCTGCTGAAGCCTCCTGTGC